GAGGTTGTAATGTTATATATTACAGTTATCTTTATTTATCTATCTCCCTCGTGTCTTCTCCATTCTGTTTGACATAATACAGTACCTAGGCAATGTTGAACTGGCTTAGATGCCTTGTAGCCAAGTGATTTGAATGTACAGTAACAGTGACATAGGTCCTAAGTCCTAAATTCTTTTCTCAGCTTGTCCCAAGCATTGTTATGTGGTTTTCTAACAATAAATTCTCAGAAACAGCTCGAAGTTGGGGAGTTTTTTTCTCATTAAGATCGGCCGCTATGATCAAAATCGGTCGTGAAAACTTGATGATGATAGATTTAATGGTTTAAAGTTTCAATTTAAACCGTCATTTATATGAATGACAAAAATAACAATTAATTACAAAATTATTCAAGTTCGTCTCATGGAGGAGAGAACTGCTTTTAATATGATGTAAATTAGTAATTTGAAGCGTTTCTATTGAAATATGATAAGTGCTTATGCTTCCGCAGCTAAATTTCGTTTTCCTTTGATATTTAACACTAACACATTTTCAACACTAATTGGCTTTAGATGAATTGAACATAGAAGCGACTCCCCATCCCTTGTCCTTATTAATTATTCATTAAATTACATGTTAATATCCCATAGGAAGAACTTGACAAACATATTAATAGTAACATTAGGTCCTACATATGAAATTCCCGTTTTGTCGAACTCGTAACTTTGATCTGAAATATCTGGTGTTTGGTTAGGAATTCCAAATTTAAATTTATTTCAAATTTAGCCTTGTGAATTTGTGTTTCAAATTCAATGATTCATTTGTTTTCCTGCCATTGGATTTTTCTTTGACATCGTTCTGTTCACAATATGGAAAATTTAAAATATCGCGTTATTTACGAATACGAGTTCCACCGTGGCACCAGTGCTACAGAAACAGCTCAAAGTATTAATGATGTATATAGGGAAACTACTGTAAAATAAAACGTGGTACATTTTTGGTTCCAAGCTTTTTGTTCTGGCAATTTTGACCTAGCAAGTTTTCGAAAGATATGTGAAGTCCACCAACCAGTACTTGGCCCCTGACCCCCATCGTATTTATCGTATACACATTATTTACATATCTATTCAAAATATACCATAATCATAAATCAATCGTCTATAAACAACTTCCTACGTGAAAACCGACCGTCATGAAGTTAGACTAAGTAAATATACAAAATTTTCTTTTAGCTTTTTAAGCTTTTTTCTCAATGCTGTTTGCGGTGAAATCCGTAAATCAATTTCCTTTGACAGAGCAATTCCAAGTTAATAAAAGCTTTATCATTGCTAAAGTTAAGACGATGAATCTTTTTATACTGCTAGAGGTTATTTACTGTTGATTAGAAAGGACTGGGTTAGATGGCTTCGGAATTAAACATTTTGCAATTTACATGCGAATTGTAAAAAAAGCAGTAAAAAAATATCACCTATACGCATAATAAAATTCTAACCGAGTCGAATGAATATTACATATTTTTTGGAAATCTTATTGAAATATTCATTAGTATCGATACTGAATCTATAGTTTTTAGAATTTTTGTCTATATGTCTGTCCGTCTGGCAATGCATTACGAGAAAACCTCTGTACAGATTTTGATGATATTTGGCATGATAATAGTTGGTTATCCGGGTCAACATATACACTTAGGTATACTTTGTACTGCGAAAAATATCTCATCTCTGAAAAATCTATACTAACCGTTAAAACGTACCTAGGGACTACAAGTGGATCGAAGGTGAGTCGCAAGTACTTAAATAATAAATATAGAATAAATTAACATGTCTGTGAGGACAGTTAGACTAACTAATTTTTCTATCATTTAAATAATATAGCTAAGTTTTATTTCAATTGAAGGCAGTGGTAGCTCAGTGAGAGTTGGAAAACCGAGTGAAGCAGGTTCAAATCTAGGTTTTCGCAACCCTACATTTTCATGCGCACATCATTTCCAACATGATTAAGATTTGTCTTAGGGTGAAGGAAAACATCGTGAGGAAACCTGCATGTCTAAGAGAACGTAGCAAGTTTTTGTAAGATATGTGCAGTCAGAGCAGTGGCACGTGGTGGACTATGGCCTAACATATATACTTGAAAGTTGGACAAGTTTTCATTTTACAATATTAAAGAATAAAATCTAAACAATTTATGGAAATGATATACGATGACTCTTAAAATATAAAACGAATATCTTTTTGCATTATAAAGGATATTTGTGGGAGTTGTAAAACCTAAATGTTAATGTAACGATTTTTAATATTATACTTCATTTTATATTCTACCCTAAAACTTTTATAATGACTCCAAATCTCAGATTGGGTACAAAAACAAATATATATATGTATAAAAGAAATTCGTGACCCTTTGACCTCTGACAAGTTGTGACATGGACACCAGATTAAATGAGACCTTTGAGCCGACATATAAATTGCCAAAACAAAGATATATTGTACAGTTTATAGCTTATTACCTGCCATTACGGAGTTAAATCCTTATTTTACTGGGTTATTAAATTTATGTTAACAATAGTAATATAATATTACATCATTATAAAATAATATCTTACAAAACATTAAATAAAGTTACAACAACGTTGCTTGTCAGAATGGAGATTAAAAAAAACCGGCCTAGTGCGAGTTGGACTCGGACACGAAGGGTTCCGTACCATTATCTATAATATCGAGCAAAAACGAGCAAAACAAAAAAAACATTTATTTTTAAAAGGAATATATAACTAAATATTCTGTGAACATTTCAAGCGTCTATATGTTGCCGTTATCAATATCGAGTAAAAACGAGCAAAAAAAAATCACGTTTGTTGTAAGGGAGCCCCCTTAAATATTTATTTTATTTTGTTTTTTAGTATTCGTTGTTAAAGCGTCAACAGAAATACATCATCTGTGAAAATTTCAACTAACTATCACGGTTCATGAGATACATCTTGGTGACAGACGGACGGACAGCGGACTCTTAGCAATATATGGGTACTTTACCCTTTGGGTACGGAACCCTAAAAAAAAAAAAATGAAAAGAGAGCTTTTTGTTTTAATATCGCATTACTGTTTTTTTTTGCTTCTTTAAAAGAGATATTCATTGAAAAGATTACCTAATATCGCCCTATGACCCTTAAGTCGCTACTTCTACACGAGGCTATTTTGAATAGAATATTTTATAAAACTTACATATATTATTCATTCAGATGTTTTACTTCGTAATATGGGTTCCGTACTCGTTGAATCAAAACTAAACTCATAAGGTTTTAGCCTATGTCGTTCATCTTAAAAGAAGACTGTTTTTAACCGTAATGGGTAGCTGTTGAACATTTGTATGTACACAATTTGTATAATTTTAGTGAATACATAATAGAAAATTGAAAAGCGAAATTTTAAACTAATACAAAAGTGTTTTTCGCTTGGTCCCAAAAACTAGCATTTTGATATTTTAGAAGTTAAATAATAAATAAGGGTAAAAATTAAATTTCTTCCAAATTGTTGAGACTAAAAGTGTAAATTATATGTAGTCAAATAACCTTGCAAAAGATAAAAAACGTCCTCTAGGAATCAGTCGGATAACAAAGTCCATAACACGTAAATCGTAATAGAGTCTGGCAAACGAAAGCGTGACCTGAGAAAACGTGGCGAATTCAAAAAATCTTTATGTGGTATTACTTACCATAGAGTAGGAGGAAAATGTTTTGATCCTTAAGTATTTTTTGTATTGTTACGTTCTATGAGTTCGGGGATCGGAAACTAAACCACGTCTTTTGCACTATCGATGTTTTACTCGTATTACTCCTAATTAACAAGAGTGACTTTTAGAGATTCACTAACACACGCAAAACATAGAAAGTTCTGGTTAAAATTAGTCACTACACACTAATTTTCACCACTAGATACACTTCCACTATAGCTTCACTTAATTTTTCTTCACTTTTCACTTTTTCCGTAAGTCTCCACTTAACTTTTCAACTGATGATGAAATTCAACTGATCTCTCGATACACTGCCTTTTTATATGCATAAACAAAGAAAATTCTAGTATTCGATAATTCGAAACCTTTCCAGTCATTTCGAATGTTTTGTTCCTCTTTCACTCTTACACGCGACAATTTACAATTATCTGTTCTTGTCTAAATTCAAGTAATTTCTATGCCTCTCTCGAAATATTTTGACAACTGTCTTAGTATGCATAAAGCATGCTTCAGACGTGTCTTTTCAAATTATTATTTTTAGTGTAATGACGTGACACATTCTCCAATACGCGACAGTACAGGTGCTTACGACGATTAATTTGTATAATAGTTGTTTGCGAACTTAATTTCTAACTAAGGAACACATCATGTCTATAGATTTTTTTTAAAGTACTTAAGCTGTGGTTAACATCACACTTGACAATGAGGCTTTAAAATTATCAATATGTCGTTTTATTTTGAAAGGCTCCGCTTGGTGTGACAGAGCCTTGACCGTCATGGATGTGAGTAAAAAAACAAATGTGTAGATTTATTTATTTTTCAATGTATAGATTTATTTATTGACAAGTTTTCTAATTTATATCAACATCATACTTTGCAAAAGAAAATGCTGTTTCTTAATTTGATATACATTTTTATCAATTTATTGTAAACAACTCGAATCTAATATTAGTCTACACATTTCACATAATATGTATATGCATAAAAATATATACAGTTACTATATACTATAAAAACGCTTTTTTTATAACAACGCTTAAAACCAGAGCAATCCAAGACTGCCGTGCCTTTGACAGCTTTATAATGTTGCCATATCAAAACTTTTAATAAAACTTCAGGACACGCTTTCGTTAGCCAGACTCTAGAAGTTATTTAAACTTCATTTAAGCATCGTCTTAGTTGTTCAAACTAGCAATTCTTGATGTATGTAGTTTATAGTAGAGACTTTTATTTATAAAGATTATAAAGATCTTAAGTAATAAATTTTGGCCTAATTTTGTGGCTTTTTTGTCATCAGAGCCAAGATCAACCCCGGCACGTCGATGACAGAAGTAGTGGAATGGTACACTAATGCAAATGCGGCTTTACTAACTCATCTCACGAAGGAAATAAAAGACACCGACAGCAGTACTATATGGAGGTAAGTTCACATTTGAAACAAAAGATATTAAAACTAACTGCTCTATTTTTTAACCATATCTTTTAATTCGGAAAAGATTGTCAAATAATGTAAGCTGCCAAGTACTATCAAGGTACCTATCGTGTCACGCCATCGGTAAGATGGTTGGTAAGTAATGACCCTATACTTGTGTTTACAAACAGTCTCTTTATTTATTAAAAGAATATAAATTCATAATAAAATCAAACTTATAAAAATTATAAAATCAATAATTAATTAAAAAAAATTATAAAAAAAAGAATTATAAACGAATGCCATGATTTTTAAGATGCTGATTAAATAAAACTTTTTTAGGATTTTTTGCGGATTTATTTTGATTGTTAGCTCCCGGCGAACATATTGTTTCGGATTTTTATAGTTTCGTTTGGTTTTATTTATTGTTCTATACTAACCGTCTGAGAAGCAAGTGTAGCTTTTGGAAAATGTTTCCAGGCCAGAAAATGTAGCCCATGTGTGTACATATTTAAATCCGCCAAGCTGTTATAGCCTGAAGGAGTAACAGACAAATGAAAATGAAGTGTCTGTTTATAATATCAAATTAATATGTCTGTCACGGTACTTAGAAGAAAAACAAAATGCTTAGAAATTTTGTCTGTCTGTCTGTTCCGGCTAATCTCCGAAACAGATAGACTGATTTTGACGGGATTTTCACAGGCAGATACCTGATGTCATAAGCAGTAACTTAGGTTACTTTTTAGAAAAAGAATTATTGTTCCGCTCAAAATAATTAAAATGTAGCTAGGGACGCATCCAACCGAAGCAAAGGTAATTCGCTAGTTATAAATACAAAAGGCACTCGAACGAAGAAAGTGTAAGTCGCTAGTATTAAATATGATGAAACAGTTAACATCTACTTTCTCTTATTCTAAAATGTTGAATTTTCTTCACTTTCTATCATCATCTATCTATACATATAATAATAAAATCTGTACATTAGATATTTTTTGGAAAATCTTATTAAAATAGACATTATTACCGATATAGAGGCCGAATCTATAGTTTTTAGAATTTTCGTCTGTCTGTCTGTCTGTTACCGCATCCTAAGACCTCCTTAAAACCTAAGAATTTGGATTTTGGTCATCTGAACGCGGGCGGAGCCGCGGGCAATGCTAGTCTATCTATATACCTACTAATATTATAAATGTGAGAGTTTGTGAGTATGGATGTTCGTTACTTTTCACGCCAGAACGGCTGAATGGATCTGGATGAAATTTGGCACAGAGATACTCGTAGATTATAGTCTGGAATAACATATAGACAACTTTTTATCACGGAAAAATGTACGGTTCCCATGGTATAGGTTTGTTTTTGTTCTTCGTGAGCCGCTAGTCAAGAATAATTTAGAAAAGCGTATATTAAATTTTATCTTAGCCAATAAAACTGCACTCTTAACTATGGTAGATATACAATATCAGACATCTCGCCGTAGCACGATAGACATATTATGCTATATGAAATTATTGATTAATACATAAGTTGAACGCCCACATACATAATGTGACCGTGTTTATTTATTACCTGACTGCTGGGAAGCCCAAATGAGGGTTATGTGTTTGATGTATGTATGTCCGACCCTATGTTCCCTCGTAATTACTAAACGGTTCAAACGATTTTGATGATTAATACGTCGTTAGATTCGTTTTGATAACACAATTGTCATAGGGCCTTTAAATATCATTAAAAGTCAAAATAGAGGGTCTGAGACATCAATTTGTGTGTCTTGAAAAAATTTTTTTGTTCAAATCGATCAAGTGGGGTATCAAAATATGATGATGTTCTCCTAGCCGATTCCGGCCACGGCGGCCAATCTCAATGAGATTAGCCAACTGTGCAGGAGATATTATAGTGCTCAAGTGTACGCGCAGACACATGTGCACTCTCTATTCCTGTCACTCTCATACTCCGGTGGGACGACCACTCGACGCGACCGGTGAGAGTTAAGGCACAGGACCGACGGCTTTACGTGCTCTCCAAGGCATGGGGGTGAAACACCGCCAACTTCCCAATTCCGGGCTGTTACTGAGACTTACTATACAGAAGGATTCAATAACTAAACTTGGCCCGACTCGAACCCAGGACCTCGGAGTGTGCAGCCGTACATGCTAGCCACTACACCACCGAGGCAGTTAATATAATAAAAATATATACAACTATACAAAGATTTTTGTTTTTAAATAAAACTAAAAATGTCTAACTTATCAAAATAAAAAAATTGTAAATAAAAAAAAATATTAATTAATTTTATATGTGAGTAGCGATTTTCTACTTCGCTCTAAAAAATCTAAGAAAGAAAACATGAAAAAAAGTTAAAATCAACTATAAAAGCATCTTAAAATATAGCTGAGCTTTATTTTTCGGGACGCATTCATCCAATATTAGCTGAACTTTGTGTTCTATACGCCTGCATAAAAATGAGGGGCCATTTAAATTGGTCGTGATACTAACAGCGGTTCCCAATAAAAACCAGATAGATAACCTATCTATTGAAAACCGCTCTAAAGAAATAGATACGCAAGTGTATCTGGAGTAAAAAGTATGTGGAAATACAAAGTAAAAGTCAGTAAAAAACATGTATATGTCGATATTTCTTTGTTACAACTTCATTAAAACATCTTGAAATTTTCTGCTCGAATCACAAGTATACCTTAAACCATCAATATGGACTATAAAAAATATATGAGTGCATTTCATTCCTTTTATGAACCATAAAAATATTAGAACAGAATATATTTCAGAGCATTGTAAAATTAGGAATTCGATTACAAGGTATTAAAAAAATAATGTTATGAAAGGTATTTTAGTATTTATGACTGAAACTTATCGATAGGTACATATAATAAAATTCTAAATGAGTCGAATCTGTACATAAAATATTTTTTTGGAAAATCTTATTGAAATGGTCATTATTGTAGATACACAGGCTGAATATATAGTTTTTGTTTTTCTATCTGTCTGTCTGGGAACGCATCCCGAGAAAACCACTAGACAGATTTTGATGAAATTTTGTATGATGATAGCTGGTTATCCGAGTGAACATATAGGATACTTTTTACTGAGGGAAAATATCTCATTTCTGAGAAATCTATAATAAACTGTTAAACGTAACTCAGGACGAACCTTAGGAGAGCCAAGGTGAGTCGCTAGTTCTATATACGTTTTATAATTGACAAATGTGAAGAGAAGTACATAATATTATGTAGATACGTATATCGAAAACACATAATCGTTTTTGGGTATATTTGATGGAATCTGTTAGTCTATCTGTGTTAAGTGCGCGTTTACATTACTAAACACGTATTCCTGTCAATGTTCAATATCCCATAACCACGGGGGTAGTTCAAAAACTTCTAGAGCAGCGTATGGCAATGGGTCGAGGTCCGTATGCATTCTATTAAATCTTAGTAAAATCATCAAACTTATTTTGCGCAATGCAGTGACTATTCTGAACTCTTACAAATGAACATCTTTTTCTCTCATCTCTTTTCTTTTATTAATTTGTATATCTGACGGTTGCCTGTAAAAGATCGTGTATAGTGATAAGACCGCCTTTGCACATCTCTTTAATTGTATTTTTTTGTATTACCATTCTACTGCTCAATAAAGTGTTTTATATTAAAATTAAATATTTAGCAAATTAACCAGTTTTGATGTGCAATTTTTGTGAGTTTGGGTGTCCAATAAAAAGATTTTATTACTACACTAGCGACTCACCCTCGTTTCGCTCGGGTTCGTCCCTAGCTTGCTTCCCAACACAAACTTACATCCTCATTTTTACCCCCTTAAAGGAATATTTCCGGGATAAAAATTATCCTATGTCCTTTCCAGGGTCTCGAACTATCTTTTTACTTAATTTCATCTAAATCGGTTGAGTAGATCCAGAGATTACCCCCTACAACGTCACAAACTCACAAACTTTACCTCTTTATAATATTAGTATAGATTTATATATATACTAGCATTGCCCGCGGCTCCGCCCGCTTTCATATGACCAAAACCAAATTCTTAGGTTTTATATATTAGTATACTCGTATTAGTATATTAGTTGACCTGGATAACCAGCTATTACCATACCAAATTTCTTCAAAATCTGTGATTTTTCTGTGATGCGGTCACAGACAGACAGACAGACAAAAATTCTTAAAACTAAGGTTCGGCCTCTGTTAGCGATAACAATGTGTATTTCAATAAAATTTCCCAAAAAATATTTAAAGCACAGATACTGCTTCATTAAATTTTAATGTATCTATAGATGTAACTAATTTATAAAGCCAAAAAGATTGTTTTTTGATAATTTAAACAAGGGCGGGGCCGCGGGTAATTTAGTAGTAATTCTAATAAAATCATAGAAAGGTCGAATTTGTACATTCAATTTTTTGGAATTAAAACTACATATTTTAAAGACACATACATGGTGACATCTATTGACAAATATCTAAATAATATAAAAATAAATATTCATTAAAATATTTTTTTAATGAATAAAATAGTGCCATTGATATACTTTTTCAAGATTAGCTATTTTTAATAGTTTTTATTTATTTTTTTATTTATTAGGTTTATTTACAATCACTTACAATAATACACACAATATAAAAAAAAATACAACTAAAAATTAGGAACTAAATGTAGTGATTACTTACAAATAAACACAGCATGCACAGAAATAAAGTTTCTTAAAATATTATACAAAATAGATATATTTTAGAAGTAAATAGTTTTTTTTTATTAATCAATGAGCAGATACACAGTTACATTAATTTAGCAATTATAACATTATTTAAGACTATCAATGCATTTATTTAGGAATTTGTTGCTAATGGTTTTGCGGAAATTGGCTAAGGAATCAGCAAATATGTCGACATCTATGCTATAAGAATTTAGAGTCTTACATAACCGTGGGACTGGGGAATTGGCACCTAGGATCGTTCGGCGAAGTGGAGGACAAAGTGGAGCAATAGGCT